GCGGTTAAGGTTTTATGTATCCATATCTTAAAGCATTATTACAAATACATATAAAAATTTCATAGATTGTTCTATAAATTAGAGTATCTGTGTAAAATATTTGAGTATATACACTTTTCTTATTGGTTTAAAAGTTATTTAATTTAAAGTTATTTAATTTAACCTAAAACTGCAACAAAATACATATCATTGCACTGCATCATTGACTGAACGCAGCCAATGGTTGTGTTCAGCAGAAAAATCAGCTTCACAATTTTTGTAAGATTTTTTAGTATAATTGATTTATATATTTAGATTTAGCGAAGCTTGAGAGGAATCTGCTGAACACAGCCATATATTCACAATCCTGAGAATAAATTGCGATCGATCGCTAAGTAAATAATAAACAATTTTTCATTTCATCAGTCAAACGTACGATAATTATCTTCCTCTTAGACACTTCTGTGAGAATAAACATTTAAACGAGACGCGTGTCGGATATGTGTATAGTTTCAATCGTGTCGCCGTCGTGTTACAACTCGCGATGGGATGTTTGAGCATCATCTTTTCAGATTACATACCTCGGATACGCAAATGGGAGATGATGACGAGTTGCGGCCTGGTTGATTCAGTGGCTGCGCATAATTATCTCGCGTAGAGATGTTGCGTGACAGCGAGCGCACACGAGCTCTCATTACACAGACATCGCATACCTTGTTTCACGTGCGTCCTTACACACAGATATCTGCCGCTGTACTCGCGATTGGATCGAACTATTGACACGAATGTCAGCTCACTCCCACGTCCTCGACAGCACCCTCGTCTCTCCTTTCTAAAAATAACCTCTGCGAAGAATGCAGGAGTTATTTTTCTAAATGAACATACGTAATATTGTACATCACGAAGAGAATGATTTTTTGCTGACGTATTTAAAAATTTAGTTAGGTATGGTCCAACAAAATTAGTTTCAGATATATATCTAGCTAAATTTTTAGATATTTCAGTAAAAGCCATTCTTTTCGTGTACCAAAGGCATCAATCTACGATTCTATAAAAAATTCTCTAACGCTTTTCTCGTATTACGAATTATATAACGAATGTAAATTATGTAACTGATCATATAAAAAAATTGGGTCAATATATATATATTATCCGAGCACTGCGAGGACTGTTGAATTTTTATGTAATTCCCATAGTAACGCTTTAGCAATGCCCTGTGTTGCGTGACTGTGACAGATTTCCTAATCTAAATAGTCGTCAACTTTAACAACTATATTTCAATATGTAATTTTATTGATTTTTGAGCTGCGGTAGCTATGGTTGAGGTAATATTTTTCGCAATAAGTTCTTCACCGAATTAATTTAGGGGGGATTATTTTCATATATAGGAATGTCCGAATGTTTCAGCTCCTCATCATATTTATATTATTAGCGTCTCAGATTGATTGTGGTTAATGTCCGAATGTTTCGGTGCAGTCACATCTGAGATAATTAAAAATTTAAAAATTAAAAATATATATTATATTCATAAAACATCTAACTGTGACCGATTATTGGCGCTCTCAAACGTATGTATACATTTACGTTATACATTTACGTGGTCGGATCTTAATTCTTATTGATAATAATATTAATTAATGCCTAGTAAAACATAATAATAGTAATGCCCAGTAACGCTCACCAATGTCTAGTAATGCCCATTGCATTATTACTCTGTAATTCCTACTGATTCTCAAGTAATGCCTCAAATAATTCCCTCGGTTATTTACCTCTCGGAGCACTGTTGTTCATTTCTTTCTTTTGAATCTTATCGCAATTATGATAACAAGAAAGCATTCTTGCGTTTGGCATTCCAAGCTCGCGGATAGGATGTCTTGAGATAAGGTTTGGTGCGATACTGCTATCTCACCTCTCTCTCACCTGTGTTCCATTATAAACCTGTTTACTCAGCATATTAAAGCGAGAATTTGAGTATATCCCACATACCTGCTCACATGTTATATTAAATAATAATAAGTGATCTTTCTTCGTTCTCTTGTCCTTTTGTTCTTCTTTCTTTTTCTCTATATAATAAATGGAAAGAAAGATTTTGAATTATCTAAAAATGTTTAGCTAGATACAGATTTGAAAATAATTTTATTGGACCATCGAAATAATCATGTAGGATGCTTATGCTTATGCATAATGAACAATACTGCAAAAAGTTTAAACATTTAAGTAATTAGCTTGAGCATCCTACATAATTATTTTGATAATCTAATAAAATTATTTTCAAACCTACATTTATAAGCTAAATTTTTAGATATTTTAGCAAACCGTTTTGTATACATTCCACATAGTACAGATCTCCAAGAGATATCTTAAAGACACATCCAGAAGATGTCTTTTTCAAGTCGTCCTAAGGACATGTACAGTACGTACGTTCCTCGGCTAAAGTGTGTTGTGGGATACTTTTTTTTCTCTTCTCTATTTGAGACTCCTCCCTGTTCCCTATGAATATTTCCGCTTGTACTTCTTCTCACCGATGTCTCTGTGTCCCGATTGCCTTCCTCGTTATTTGCGAGCTCTATCATATTCTTCCGACGAACGGAACATGCACTCGTGCATGCATGATTCGTGGCTCGTGCGATGCGAGACGACTCGCCGATTCCCGTTGTTTACTCACAATTCGCACATGCAGCTAAAATGGGGAATCTATTACTGTCTCAGGCTTTCCTCTTGGCTTGAACTTGATTGGCGATTAAGGTTTAACGACACTCGAGAGAGCAACGAGAAAGCGAGGGTGCTTGCAGTGGCGTAGACAAGACAGCCTGCTCTTTTCGATTGCACTTTCTATGCTCATCTCTTTTTTTCTACCGTAAAACGTTAGTCGTTTCACCGTAATCATACCTCCTCTCCTGTTCGAAGTATGAATGATATGAAGTCACGTATATTTACGCTGATTTAATTTTATTATTATTTATTATTAATGAAAGAAATACTGTATCTTTTATTCTACTATAAATTATTATCAATGCAAGACTTACAATTGTAGAGACATAAAAATTAAGTCATGCATTTTTCACATCTCAAATTATGGAATAATAAAATTATAAAAGAAAAGAAGGAAAGATTTTTGTTCTTTATATTTACGCTTCTGGATGCACTTTTGTATTCAGCGTGAGTTCACATGCACTCGCGTCCTCCGTTCATTGCGGTTTCTTTGAGTACGTATGGGCGCAGGCGAGGGGACAAAGGAGAGAATTTACGCTTGCAAGCAGAGGGGCAATACAGGGACACCGAGAAAAGGAGAGACATATGAGTGCAAGAGGATGGAAGTAGAGGTAGAATGGTGCGGCAAGGTAGAAAAATCCTCGGAATGTAGTTACTTTCATTTATGGCCTAATCCTTAGGCTTCTCTCACAAAGAGTTTACCGTTGTACCGTTACTCGGGTACGAAGTCCACTGTGTATAGAAAGAACGGTTTTGGTCAAGAGTATCTAAAAATTTAGTTAGATACAAATCGCTAGATACGAAAATAATTTTGTTGCATTATCAAAATAATTATGACGCTCAAACTGGTTGTTAGAATATCAAAACTTTTTGCAGCATTGCTCATCATGCACTGTTAAATTCGTGATGTTAAATTATATTCAATTTGAGTTATTTTTAATCAGTTCTATAGGTCGCCACTACTTCCACAATATGTCGTTATTTAACTAAAACAATGGAAATAATTTAGCTCTCAAGGAAATTATTAAATTTGATTCAAATTTGGTTTATTATTATTTATTAAGTATATGGGCCAGTTTCACCAACGCCGATTAACGTGGTTTACTTTGAAACTAACCACATTGCAGAAATGGATTGATTTACATTTTAATACACATGGAAGTTAAAAATAATAAAATATTATTTTTTTTACTCAAGGAATTGGGTTACCATTGCTCCTTTAATATCTAACGGTGTGCTTTTAAGTTTCCTACATAATTATTTTGATGGTCCAACAAAATTATTTTCAGATTTGTGTGTCCAGTTAAATTTTTAAATACTGCAGCAACATCATTCGTGTATATACAATCGTTGGCGCTTTTTTGAGCCGTGTATCTTCCCTTCGTATCATCGCTTCGAATTACTTGTGACTTTTGAGAAATATTTTATTTATTTATCTCTAGTAATATACATATATATAAATCAAATATGCTCGAAACGACTCTTTAAAACGTTCCTTCTCTATTCGTTCTTAGATATGGAAACTTGTGGACAGCAAGACGGGTTATCTCACAAGAAGCGGATTGTATAAGGGTCTCGCTCTTATCGCCTTTGCTCAACAGGGAAAGCAACCGAGCGACAAGCTGCTGGAAAACTCTGAATCCCAAGGTTAGTAAAATTTTAATTATTACTCTCCGATTTGTTGAAGTATCAGGCGCATAATTACTCTTGCATACTAGACACGATAATCGGCGATATTCAATGAAAGCTTTGTTTTTTCACACGTGACGATGTAAAAGAAAACTTTCATTGGATACGGCTCTTCATTCATCGCTTATCGCGTCCAGTATGTAATACGCATAAGTCTCTAAAAAATATTAAAACTTTTAATTCGGTGAGTTATTTGTGCTTATTTTATTTATTATTTTGTCAATATTTTGCCAAAGAAAGTTTTGTGAATAAAAATATACTTAATAATAGGTATTTTACAAAACAAATGCAGATGTAAAATTGAAAATTCCAAAAAAAAGTTATTTTAAAGAAAGTATTTTTATCAAGAAATTATTTTATCATTTTTAAAAATAAAGGCTTCACTTGATTTTTCTCGCTACGCTTTTGTGTGAAAAAATTTTAACGATGGTAATTGTGACCGAAGAAATTGTTAAAGCGTATAATGAATATGATAAGCCGAGCACGGATAAGAATTTCGCATTCGTACTAAACTCGCTTCATACTTTTTTTACAGTAATTCTCTTACGGTATCTCTTTTATAGCTTAAGTAATTTGCTTCGCAAACAAGAGAAGCCATATACATAGTTTTCCGTGCCGTTAACACAGTCCGTATATAGACTGCGATGAAAGTAGGCCTTGAATAAGTCTATTATCAGACAGGTGTTTAAATAATGCACAAACGTTCTTCTGCTGCATATCAAGAAACCTGTAGGCGTTGCCGGAGTCATTGACCGGCAAAATCATTGCCGTTTTGCTTATCGCTAGGAAGTTGCGTACTATATATATCATGATTCAAGAAAATTACATTGCAACTTTCCGTCGAAATATCGTTTACTTGCGTGTGATGTATATATTTGTTTTATTGTTAATTGTTATTTGTTAATTTATTTATTAGCTAATTTATTTATAAATAATTATTTATTTGTTTAAAACAATATATTAAAAAAATAAATTTTAATATCATGTGTGTATATACTTGTTCCATAAGTTAATATTATATTTTTTTCACATGTTTCTCTATATATATCAATATAATATATTAACTCTCATTAATATTCCTTCAATATTTACTTGGAAAACGATCGTTTTATAATAATTGACATTTGTTATTTTTGCTAAAATTTACATTTTTCGAAAATTCTTGCATTTTTTGCTCGACAGAAAATTATAATAAAATTGAACAACTTTGATATGAAAATATAATAACCAATTTTGTGACACGTTCTTATTTTAAAAATGCACAATATGATCACTTTTATTATACAGCGGTGAATTATAAATGCACGAAACGAAGGCGGCTTTATGAAAGTCAAGTCGTGAATGGTAAAACTGTGGGAACATAATAAGCCTGGCTGTACACAGCCAAGGTATGTCAGCTCACGGAGTCAGGAGACTCCTTATCGAGGTTACGACGACGATGATTATTTGCCAAGGTGTAGGAACTACAATGCCGCGAGATCTTGCTCGTCTCGTAAAATCGACGAAGTAGTACACGTCGGAAAGAATACGAAAAGAGAGGATACGCTCTTCTTCCTTCTTTCTTAAATGATTATTCGATTTATTACCGTAATTTTGATTTTATCTGTCAGTATTGCGAAAATAGACGGATCTGATTTAGCGATATCAAAAAAGTGGAGGAATTACTGGATCTAGTAGCGTTTTACATTTATTCGCACGCGATAAAAATAAAACAATGGAATACTGAGACACTTGCAGTAAAAGAAAAAGAGGCAAAGTGCAATTAAAATGAGAGAAGTCAAGATATATTTATAAGAGATGAAGATAAAATAAATACTTTTAAAAGAATATGCTTTTTGATCCGTTTTATATATTAAACTTTTGTTTAATTAAATCATGCTTTAATAAATTTTACTTTTACAAAAAGTACAATTAAAATGAGAGGAACAAAAATATAGACGAAACGAAATAAATATTCCTGAAAAAGTATGCTTTTCAATCTGTTTTATTAAACAGATTTTGTTTTATTACATTGTTACTTAATTAAATTAATTTTAATTAATATTACTTTCATAAATAGAGCCAATATACAATTAAAACGAGAGGAATAAAGATATTTATTACGAGACGAAATAAATATTCCCAAAAGAATGTGATTTTCGATTTTTTTATATATCAAATTTTTACTTAATTAAATCACTTTTAATAAATTTTATTTAAATTGTAAATAGACAAAGTGAAACATTTCATTTGTATATTTAATCGTGGATTATGAATATAAAATTAGTAAAGATTTGAAAAAAATACACGATGAGAGATAAAAAAAAAGTATATGAGAGCATCGCAAAAGAGAGTATATTTTCGAAGTCCAGAAACGTTCGGTCACTCTTTTTCATACTTGAGAGGAGTTTAATTCGTTGAACTTAATGTATATTAATCAAATTCTATTGGCTAGTACACGCAAAAAAATTTGCTGTTCCAGCTAGAACCATAGCTGTTTTTTGTATCTGATAGAAAATTATGTATCATATGCATAGAATTTATAGCACAAATCTAAATTCTATTTCTGTCATCTATATGATTAGGTACAATACGTATCCAATATCGCAGTACTTGCTAGAAATTTATCTATTTTAGCTATTTTCCGTACTTAGATAATTTTCGCTATAACTGCAAGATCACTTTTTTGAGTGTAAGTAATTGTGCAACTTTCGTCTCCGCTAAATACGGCCGGGTCAGTGGCAGTCAGAAAATCGCATCGTTCACTCGAGAGGATCTTATTCGCAGAATTACCCGTCCCTGTTCTGGGAGATCTGTCGGAAGTGACGCTTTTGGCGCAGAGGCTACACCGAGGCAATCCCGCAAAGCTGAACCACACGTACTCGGACATCTGTAATCTGGACACTATCGAGGTCAACCTCGTTCCTGAGAAGAAGGGCATCTTCCTGAAGCACGTGGAGTATCAAGTCACCAGCAAGGTATTACCTGCGCTCACATTTCCGTCCGTAGAAACACGAAAGGACGTAGTGCTATTATTTAGATTGCTTTAATAAAACCTTATCTAGATTCTATCGTAGCGAATAAGAGAATTACACCGCGAAGAACGTGAGCTCACGCGGATGAATTTCATGTTTTTTTAGAGGTTCAATTCTGTGGTCTACAGGCGTTACAATGATTTTGTGTCGTTGTACGATCTCCTCTTGGCACGATTTCCAGATCCCGAAGTTACCACCGAAGAAAATCGTCGGAGGTGAATATTCACGCTTATACATAATTGAACATAAATTCGAAAAAAATTATATAATTTTGTAATTATGAAAAAAAGAACAATTTTGCCGAAGTATCTTAAAAAAATTAGATACATAGCTGAAAATAATTTAGTTGACTATCAAACTAATTATATAGGAAGCTCGAGCATAATGAGTATTATAAAAAATGCTGCAAAAAGTTTTAATATTCTAGCAATCAGCTTCATCGTTTTATATAATTATTTTGATGATCTAACAAAATTATTTTTAGATCTCCTAGTACATTCCTGGTAAACACAAAATAATATCAACGTTATAATTTCATACTCAATAATGTAACTGTTACGTAACTGTGTTATACATATTGCATTTATATTGTTGAGTGTGAAATTATAACATTGATTAGATTTAGCTAATATTTTGAATTTTTTTTACTCTCTAAATTCTTTAAAGTGAATCTCATTTTGAAAAAGAATGGCTCAATTTTCAATTTTTAAGAGTAAAATTTCACTTTTTAGAATGAAATTCACTCTAAAAATTTTAGGGAATAGCCATTCTTTCTATATAGGAATTTATTTCTTTGTAGCAATCGCAATGCTACAATGATACGATTGATAACAGCAAATATTCTCTAAAGAATCTGATTTTTTTTTTCATTTTGCCTCGTTGCAGCGGACTCACAATTTCTCGAAGAGAGGCGGCGTTCTCTTCTGCGGTTTCTCACGCTGATCGCTCGCCACCCGGTAGTGAGCGAAGATCCAATTGTGCAGTTCTTCTTCACATATACCGGTGACGAGACGCAGCACAAGATCCGCGATGTGTTCAGGCGCGTGCCAGACGAATTTGCCACATCCGAGCTGTCGTCGAGGGCGAAAGAGCTGATGCCGCCCGAGACGCTGACCGAGTTCGCGAATAGCCGTGATCAGATACGCATGATACTCCTCGGGATTTCCCGGCTGAAACATATCGCTGACAGTTTGGCGATCAGATCGCACAATTATGCGGTGGACATGGCCGAGCTGGGCAACCAGTTGAGCACTCTAGCTGCGGAACAACACGGCACCGGTACTTGGGTCACCGGTGGTTCCAGTCTTTGGCAAGACATGAAGAAGGGCTTTCACGTAATCTCAAAGTAAGAGTCCGATACCGATAAGAAAAGTGCGATTCAGATTTCATGTTATCTTTATTATGTAATTATTGTGTTTTTGCGTTATAAGAATTAGGTTTCGATAACGAAGGTACTTGAGATTTCACGCTCCCATTACATGATACACGATCTATGGTGAAAATCTTTCTCAGGATTTTTGAATAATTTTATAACTTTTTAGAAAATTTCTCAGATTTTTTTATATTAATTGGGAGTTGGGACATTTTCTAGAAGAAGCCGAGTCTATATCTTTTCCAGAATTTTTACATAGGATATTTTAGAATTCATATATGTATATGACAAACTCTAAGAAAAGACGTAGACTTCCTTAAAATTTATGTATTTCAATTTGTATAAAAATTCTGTCAAAGCAAAAAATTTTTATCAGATACAATTGAGGGGATTGGCGGAATAAAAAGGCACAATTCTACTCATGTTCTTTTTCCGGAAAAGGAAATTAACGCAAATAAAGAAGAAATTGATGTTGCTTACATTAGTTAAATATGAACGTGTTTTGATTGTCCTGTGGTGATGAAAATGATATGATCTATGGAAAAAGAGCATAAAAGTGATTTAAAATTATTAATGAGATTTTTACCAAGGATTGAAAATGATACAACAATAACGTGTTTTCATTACAACATATTTATGTTAAAAAATCTTACGAAAACTCATCAGATGATGATTGAACATTATTTCAATTTATTTTGTACAAGTAAAAGTAAAATGTATTTCATAGTCTTTCCTTTCCGTCGATTCTTACAATATTATGATCAATATTCGGAAAAAGGGATTAAGTGTATTTTTTAAATTGCAAATAACTTTTTAAATATTGATCATAATAGAAAAATATTATAATATATAACTTCTCAAAGACATTATATAAATATACATTTAATACTGTTCCCATTTGTGGTATAATAACAAAGTAACAAGTTATTTTAATTTTTATCAAAATCAAAATTTTATAATTGGGCCTTTCCGCCCATCTCCTCAATTGTTCTCTTCATTTTTGGATTATTTATGTATTTTAGAGGAATTTAATCTTTCGTGATTGCTTTTAATTGTAGAATAAACGTTAAATTTTAGAGAGTTCAACCTGCTGTCAACTAGAGCACTCCAGCAAGCGGTCAGAGAGGAGACCATGGTCTGTGAGAGGCTTAATCTCCTGCTTGACATTTTAGTCGCACACAGGATGTTGTGCGAGAGACACGAGCGAGGCGTCAGCGCCGATCATCAACGCGCTCTGTCTACGATGCTATCTCTTAAGAAGCGGCAGATGCAAGGCGTTATTCGCGGTACCGATGTATGTGTCTACTTAAGATTTACAATATTAGTCAGTAAACCATGTTCCGCGCTCATCACGCGGATTATTAATCGGCGCGGTAATTGTAACCAGCAGTCGCAATTGTATAATTACTCGTCGAGGCAATATAATCTGTGAAATCGCAGAGATTCGCCGTTGTAAGGAGTAAGCGTAACTTCCTGCGATCTTACGCAATCTGTCATAGTTAACGAACGCGCGGTGCATGTTCATTTCGCGAAGAGTGCACGCGATTTTATCGTATGCTCACAGGCCGACACTGTCGAGTACCTCGAGAACAAGATGGTCTCCCAGGAATCCGTAATCGCCAACGTCGAGCTGAGGAATTGTTTCTCGTTACTCTGTCTGCACATGGAGACTCAGCTCGTTCACGCGCACCTAGAGATACTTGCCACCGTGCTGCAGAGTCTCGTGAGCGTGCAGATCCGTGGGCATTCCGAGGTAAATATCATCAGTCCTCGATAATTTAAGTATTACACTTGTTAACAAAATTATCGCAGTACGGAAATTTATGTAAAAATTTCGTAAATTTTGAATAAGCATAACTCCGTGAAAAATTGTCGTATTTGAACATTTTTTGAACAGTAAAGTCTTTAAGGAGTTTTTAATAGATTTATATATATATATATATAGTTTATTCTTCTTTTTGCCATATTTTAAAAAATGAAGACGTATTACGTCTCCAAAAAATTGCATAATTTGATACATTCTATGGGCTGAAATGAATTTTTTTCGCAAATGTCATAGTGACAATTTTGTCATTTGCTTTCCGAATAATAACTGGAATAAGTTTAGAGTAAGTACTATTAATATTGTAAGTACTAATAGTACTTACCGTACTCCAGTGAAATTTTGATATAAATTTTTCTGTTGCGATAATTTTGTTGAGTGTATATTATTATTATATTATTATAATATTGTCGCATTTATATAACAACGACATAACTTAATAATAAACTAGATTAAAAAAAAAATAAGTTTGAAATGTTTTAAAATTTGTCATTAAAATTTTGTAATGTTAATGTTGAAATGCAATTTTTTTTTATAACAACTAATTGTAGAGGAATCAAAGTGTTTCTTTATGCTTTCATTCTTTTTCTACAAGTAACTCGAAATAACAATTTTTTAGTTATGTCGTTATAGCAAATAAGCGTTATATTACTTGTTGATTAACGAACGTGTTCATTTTGCAAACGAACGCAAACGAACCGAAGAGGTCTCGGTGAGTTGTTGCACAATATTCTTTTACATCTACGAAGTTTTCTTTTGTATTTTCTTTTTATCTCTGTAATATAATATACTCTACTCTGTTTATTGCGCTATATTGTTTTCTGCTATATACATGCTAAGCAAATATCTTAGTGCTAGAACACACACGCATACATCATCGGATTTGCGATGGAAATTGCTGATGCAAATGTTTGTTTACAGTTGGCTGAAGTGTGGAAACTAATCGAACCGACGATTACAAAGTGTTTACCCGAGAAGTTAGCAAGTGGGTCCAATGGAGGATAGCACAAGAATAGCAAAGTTTCGTATATATCATGCGTTGCCAAATAATTGATAATCGAAACTTGTATACAACTCCCAGTAAGCTTGACTGTTGATGATCAATATGCCGAAGACGGGAAGAAGAAAGACGTGCAAATTTTTTAGTCGTTCCATATAATGATTACATAGATTTTATATCTATTTACCAGAGAGATGGGCATTATTTGAAATAAATGCATTAAAAATGGAAATATAAAATGCAAAATGCCTATTTGTATATTTTTTTCAAAGAAGGAATCACGTTTCATTGCTTACATTAAATAAAAAATTATAACAGTAAAAAATATTAAGAATAAGAATAAAAATATAAATATAAGATAAATATTTAAAAGTAAATATAAGAATATAAATATTTAAAAAATCATTTTTATTTTGAAAACAGTTTAATTTTGAAAAATGTCTATTTTCTCTATTTTTTTCTATTTTAAATAAGTTTCTAAAACTCATTTTTTAATGGAAGGATACAACTATTTTGCATTTTCTATTTAATTATTGAACAGCCATTTTACCCATCTCTACTATTTATATATGGGTTTCACATTTCTCTAAATATATAGATTCTTGCGGCATTTGTGTATTCCTTGATTATCAAGTGATTAAATATCACGCACGATATTTAACCGAAGATATTTGTTTTATTATTATATGATGATAAGGAGGAATCTCGAATATGTATAGCGCGTTCAAGTTTTAAACATTCCCTGTTGTGTACTTAATATATATTTTATGGACCAGCGAATGATATACATATTTCTAATTCTCTAATAATTGTTAAATCGCTATGTACATAAGAACTTATAGGTTGTATATAATACACACGTCGTATCGATGCGTGAAGAGTGCCTATGCAATTGTAAATATATACATATTATAACACGGACATTTTACAAGAGAATTTTTATTCACATCGTGCATGTACGTGAATAGTCGAGAATTTTGTATGTGTATCACGTTGATTGTGAACACATTCCATGTATTACGTATATTAGAATGTCTCAGAATTATCGTTATTTTATTGATTCGAATGAATTTTACTTTAAATAAAATCTATGTTTATAATTCAGTTGCCAAAATATTTAATAAACATTCTGGAGCTCGATATCCAATCAAATTTTCTAAGGAAGAAGAACTTAATTCAATTAAGTGAGACAAACTATTTATAAATTTTCATAACATCAATGATAGTTTCAAGATGTCTTGCATGATACTCATGTTTATAACGTAACGATGATGAAATATATTGTTATTATAAAAACAGGTTTCCATTTTTCTTCTAGATCAAATAATTTTAACGCAGTGATTATCTCAACGAATATTTGACGCATAAATATTTATTAGCAGCAAAAATCGGAGATAATGTATTCGTTATCGATAAAGCCATGTTATCGTGACGGTCTGCTGTAATAAATTTATAATATCCAAAACGCTACAAGCAAATAGCATATTTTTCCATAGTTTAATTATGCAAATACACTATTAGCATTACATGGCTTGAATTCGAAATAGCGGATTTGCAAGATACGTTTGGATTTTCAGAGGTAACATAGCCCGCTGCACCAGTTTGAATCACAACGTCACAGATGTCGGCACGAGGATCTCCTCTAAAGCTTTGGTGAACGTCGTCTAAAGATTATGATAAACTTTCGATAAATTACGCTTATTTCGCGTTAATTATTTTATTAATGTGATGTTTTATTCCAGATAAAGCTTTAAAATTTCTTCTTAAAAAAACAGCATGCAATTTCGTGCAGTTATGTTTAACATAGCCCTTGTTCTTCACCCTCGCATTATATCATAGAAAGGCACGTGTTATGTTAGGGCATCGCGATACGTTAATTATTGCTAGGTCGTCAGAGTAGCAATTTACCGCGTATGGACTTACGATACACAGAGTTAACGGCGTTGTTCCTCGTAAATGAGACCGGCCGAATGAGTCGTATCCGCGCGTGCATCAATTCGAAATAAGGTCCTTAAAAGCTTCATCGAGCATCCTCGTTCCTCGTCTAGCGCGATGGATGGCGGCCTCGTAATGCTCTTTGAACGTCCAGCATTTTAGATTAAAGGCGGTTAACCGACCCTTTCTCTTCTACGTAGCTCGGACCGTCGAGAGAATAACGCGTTGGAATTTCACCCGGGCGAAAGTAACGTTTACCGCCAACATTTCTTCGAGAAACGACTTGTGTCAGAGGGCTTGTGTAATAGAAGTTGATTCATATCAAACGGATATTCCAAATTATCTTCCAGAAAAAATACAATGAGAGATACATCGAACTAAAATTATTTTTTCTTTACAAAAGAGCCTTAATCGTAAATCTTTTTTTTCCTTCGAGAGATAGATTTGAATAGATAGATATGTTTGAATAGATAGATATGTTTGAAATTCCAAAATAATCCGAGACGAATGGATATTAATATTATTATATAGATAATAGAAAGATTTATAAGGATGTGCATGATGAACCATCGATATTTTTAAATAACGCAAAATGAAAACAAATATACATACATTTTTCTAGATATTTTTTTTAAAGGACAATTAATAAAGTTTCTTACAAACAATTATCAAACTTTTAAGTGACATGAGCACTTTTAAGTTTTAACCCTCAACTACATCAGTGGGTTTTTCAGACTTGAAAAAAGTTTTAATCAATTGGCATTTCTGTACGGTTGGCGCTGAGATTTTGAATTCACTTTGAACCTTCCCCTAATAGTCGCCGTGGTAACTTGTATTGAATGTTCAAACGGAATGCTTGAAAAATCTTGCTTAGGTCATTTGGACTGGAATGATGTAGATTCAAAACATTTTAACTAATATTTGAAATTAAACATTTTATTGGAAAAATAGTTTTATTTATAAAAAATGTGAAAAATTTTTTAAAATAAAAATGTGAAAGATATACTTACTTCGTATAAGATAAAATCGTAAATAAAGAAGATGAATCTTTTTGCAAATAATCGATATTTTTTTAAATTAATATTTTATTTTACAATGCTGACATATTTTTACTTAATAACTTTTTTAATAAAATATGAAGAGTACGCGAGAAGAAACAGAAATTGCGGCCATTTATATCCTCATAGAAGCGTAGTCATTTTTTGTAAGAAATTTTTTTAAGCTGTTTTTTACAATAAAAATAAGCAGAAATATGTATGTTTGCGTTTATTTCGCGTTATTTAAAAATATCGGAGTTTTATTAAGTACATCCTGTACAACGATGATCTACATAATTCGATATAACTCGACTAGTCCTAAAAAATTATTCACGTCGATGGAACGTAATTAGCAAATTCTTTTTTCCCTTTAAGATAGGCACATATTTGAAATTCCAAATTTAATTAACTAAAAAATGCTTTTTTTGTACAAAATCGGCCTATATAGTTAGAAAATTGTGCTAAATAATTTAACATATTTCACGTGCCCACTCAAAGTTTTGTTAATTTGACACAAGATGAATATATTAGAATTAAACAGTACCATAAATATTACATAAAGATATTAACACAAAAAAGGTAAAATAAAGATAACTGACAATTTATAAACAAACTAGTTTTTTCAGTAAAACTAGCATTTATGATACCTACGTTAAATTAATATGTATTTTATTCATTTACCTTAAAATTTACGTTTCAAATCACATTATTTTTATACTATTTGTCCACTTACTATATAAATTGTATTATTTTGACCCTAAAACGTTGAATACTAATTTAACACAAAATGCTTAAATAACATAATCACGTTATATAAAATTCGAATATATTAAAGATTCAACACAAAATTTTAACAAGCACTTAAGTGGATCCATAATATGTATTTGTTTTCTTCAACACAAATACAAAATATGTTTCTTACTGCGTATGTTTGAAATTCGGAAACACGTAACACTACTGAATAATATTATTATTACATAACGAGATCCGTATTTTTCGATAACTCTAACTGGCCCACCAAAATCATTCGCATCGACAGAGCGTAATTAGCAAATCCTTTTTTCTCTTCAAGAAGGGTCTATGTTTGAAATTTCAAAATAATGTTATATGAATGAATAATTAATATAATTATGTAACAATGATGTGTGTAATTTTTCGACATTTATTTGTATATAAAAATCATTCGTATCGACAGAACATAATTAGCATTACAAAATTCGACATTGATTGGCAGCCTTGATTGACAATGTGATCCTCAACCAGAACATCACGTTCAAAAATCCTTATTTCTCGACCATCATAGCTCTTCCTTACATTTGAATGTCAACATCATCAGATAACGTTTCGTCCTCGGCAAGCAATTGAGAACTCGAGAATAAACGAGTTCCCTGCTCCGAGAGCGTCCTCCGAGGAATCGTCGAGAGCGGATGGGGTATATGCATCCGCACGGGTGCGCCAGGCAGAAAGGGCGGACTACTGAACATTGCAGAGGCAATTTTCCCCGACAATACCGGCTACTTTGTTTCGAGCCCGCGTGCGTGCATGCTTTGTGAATCACGCGTGACTCTGGTGCATTCCGTTTCTTCCGCCGGCGTCGAAGGAGTTCCGGCGCCGGAAGAGCGCCGGCGC